TTGTTGTAACATGACTTAACCTGCTAAGCATTCATAGTTAATGGATGCATGTAGTATAGTGAAGTCGTTTATGTGGCACAAAGCTCATAGCTCAGCATTCGGAATTGTTTCCTTCGTAGGTTAATAGGTGCTGGACTCGAGACCTTATCGCCAGTCAGTAAAATTCTAGATATCATCAACTACAGAATATGTCTTGATTACCATAGTGGGCATGTATTTTCATAGGCCTTTTTTGTATTTGAGTCATAACTTTTGGATTATTGTATTTTGAAAATTTATTTGGGAGCTCCCCTATTTTTTAAACTTAACTACTTTTATTATGTTGCTTTAAGACCGATGGATTATGATTTGCAAAATGGAATGTTTTAAGAAAATTTTGGGTTAGCCACTTTGGTGGTCCCATGTAATGCCCAAACCTATCGGGTTTTATTTTAAATTGGATTTGGGTGTTACACCAGCACTAGAGTATCGATACTCAGCCTAGAGTATCAACACTACCTTACTTAGTCATTCTATATCAGTCAGTGAATATCGATACCAACAGGTTGATATCGATACCAAAGGTTCAATATTAGTACCATCAGACAGTTTTGAATAAATAATCCATGGATTAAGGGATCAGACATAAGGGATCCAAATACACCAGAATAACAGCAAATAAGAATTCAAGTGAGAACAATAATTATTAACATAAAAATAAAAATAGTAACAACTATGATTACATAAAACTAGCCTTTTTTGACACTCGGGAAATAGTCAGGACACTCGAGTCTCTTTAACAGAATATGACAGACAATGGACATTCAGTCAGTGTCAAGGCACTTCAGTAGCCAATTGGGCGTAGATTCCCCAAGACTCGACGGAGTAAGTTGGTTGAGTGTATGTTTCTGATACAGTTATGAATCTTACCTTAGAGTACCCGATGGTATTCCAGCAGGCTAGAGGGCATGTACTGTTATATAGACCCTTTTGTATTCAAACATAACTCTATTTTCTTTTAAACTCAATATTGTATTATTCTAGATATTTTGGGAGCTCCCCCGTATTGTAAACTTTATTACAATGTTTTATTTTATTCCTATGAATGAACTTTTATCAGTTGTTTTATAAATTATTTTTTAAAGAAAATTTTCTGGTAACCCGTGTGACATTTGTAATCTATGGATCTTCGGGTCGGGCTGGATTAGGGTGTTACATCCCAATTGCATTCACCACTGTTAAAGGAGAGATAACATAGGCTTGGAATTTCTTTTTGATCAATCTACGTCTTGTTTGGTATTCGATCGAGGAATGAGACTTTTGGCGACAATTTGAACGTCCATGAAATCTTTGGATACCTCCATATGCATATCCCACATTTTGTATCCGTTATATTGGTAAGAATAGTATCGATCAGTTTCATTATAACGCACACATTCATACTAAGATAGTAAGCATAGGTAAGTTTTATTTTCAACATTTGGGTAACCATTTATGTATTTTTAATTGATGTTTAACAATATATATATTATGAAACGAGATACGAACTACACCAACCAAAATTTGATAAGAGGTTGGAGAACTTGAAGGTATTTTATGATGATGAGCGTTTTGGAAGTGGGCATTGAAAATCCCACGAGAAAAATGGTTGCAAATATATGATGGTAGTTGATGATACGGACACATGACAACAAACCTTGTTGAGGCCATTACTTTAATACTAAAATGTACACGTTATATCTCAATAGCAAGTGTGATGAAAGAGACGTATTTTAGATTGGTTATGGTTTGGTCCGATAAAGGGAAGACAGTTGAATGTCTCATAAATATCAGTAAAAGTTGGGCTCTTGCAGTGGTAGAAGCAATGGAAACAAAAGAGCGATTGACAACCTCAATGTTGTGAAATAATAATGTCGAGGTGCACGTCGATTGCATTTTGGTTTTTGTGATTGCTCAAGAGTTTGGTAGTCATCATCCTCTTTCACTGAGGGCATATGATTTGATGTTGTAAATATATGTCTATCACTTTGTCTCATATCTATGATGGAAATGTAGATTGACAAATAGTCCTATTTGACATCATAGATGTCATGTTTTCATTATCAAAATCATACGTTGATCTAAACGGGGAATATGTGGGTTGTTAAGGATGCATAAATTCATATATGTATGTCACAATAATAGAACCATCAAACGCTTATGAAATGATCTTGCATCACCTAAAGGTTATGCTGACCTATTATCCACATGTTTTGTTTCCGCTAAAAACGCTTGATGAAACGATCTCGCTTCATGGTGAAAAGAACTCTCACTCCCGTTCGGTATAGATTTTTCTGTTTTATCATATTTTTTTCGTATATTGTTAAAATTGATGTATTTCACTCTATGTTGTCAAATATGGCTTTTCATTATCCTAATAGTAGTTAAGGTAAACCGAAGTTTGAAAATCAAAGTTATGATCTTGAATGAAACTAAGAGCTAGCAAGTTTGAAGATATTTTGTTCCAAATATTAATGTAGTTTGAATGCTTATGAACCCAATTCTCCTAATGCTTACCTCGTGCATATAATTTGTAGAGGTCGTGATCATATGAAATATATGGCATAGGCTAGTGGAAGTCGAACTGCCTCAACACTCTATTCGAAAATTGGAACTCGACAAAAGCAAAATGGATTAATGATGTAACATCGCATCAATATTGACAATCATCCCAAACATCTTACAACACACACAAAGTAATTTTTTCATCTACATATGACCTCCAAATAAATAGTAAAAATAAAAATTATATAAATTTTTTTCTTATAAAATAATAAATAAAATTAAAATTAAAATTTAAGGAACGCATAATAAAAAGAAGTTACTTTAAAATTTAATTCATCAAATTATATATATACCTATTTTTTGCTACTAATGTCGATCTTCAACCTAAACTCTTTAATATTATGCACCAATCCATTTTTTCTATTTTATGCTTCCATTTGTATATCAACTAAAAAATATTCATTAATTATTTTTAAGCAAAATAAATAAAATTCTAATTAATTTAAATCAAAACTAGATAGAGGCAAGAGGAAAATCAACTGCAGTCGACTAATCGGTGTTAAAAATAGAAGTATGTGCCAAGCCCATGATTGTATAACATCAGACATCCACTGATTTCAATTGTATTAATATTATTACAATTAATAACGCCTTGTACATCTCACAGTACAAGAACACTAATATCGTTGATCGCCAACTATTTTGACAAATATTCTCAAATTTTCCAAAAATAAGAGATATTGAGTGTGAACTAGATTATCGGATTTATTCGATACCAAAACACTCTCAATTAACTGCAATATATATGCTAGAGTTGTATACAAACCTTTTTCCTCAGTACTATCTTGATCGAGCGAAAATTGATTATCCAACCATGATAGCCTCAAACGTCGGCATTTTAAATCTGGTTTTACTGTCGTCTTTCCAAGTAATGCATTGAAAAGTTGATCCACCTTGTAATCATTTTTCTGCACCATTGTCATCTCATTTGTTGGGAACTCGAGTTGCATGGTCATATCCTTTAGAGTTATCGTGCATTCTCCACACGGAAAATAAAATATATGCGTTTATGATCTCCAATATTCAATCAATGTACTGATCAAACTCAAGACCAATTTGTACTCTTGATTAATGTTACCTAGTAAAATTCAGCCTCTTGCAAGTTATCTTCAATCAAAGGGTGTAGCTTTTCGGGAATATTGTGTCAACGACAAAGGATTCAAATAATAATAATTCATGAAACTAATCAATTAACCATAAAATAAACTTCTCGCATTTAACAATAATTCATTCTTAAATTAAATATATTATTATTTTAAATAATAATGACACAATCATTCTCAAATGGCTAGAAATATATTGATCATCAAGTCTCATATGATTTATTTTTTCCATTTAACTGAATCTGTAAAAAATAATATTTTTAAAATTAAATAACAATTAATTTAATTAGTAAAGAAATCAAAACCTAAACATTACATTAATTTAAACAAAAATAATTTACATTCTTCAAATCTTTTCTCCTTTAAACAGAAAAGTTAATCTCTCTTAAAAAAATCTCTCTTTTCTTTCTTCTTTTCCCATACAAAACTACTCTCTGTATTAATCACATATATATCCTGAGTCTCATCTCATCCCCTCCCTCACTATTATTGTCGCCCCAAATATTTATCCTCAAATGTAGTCACTCGTAAATGTTACCCTCCCATGCAGTCACTCGTGAATGCACTACAGTAAAATTATTCTTTAGCGACGTTTTTTTAGTCCTATAACGTCGTTTTTTAGTCCTATAGCGACGTTTTTAAGCGTCGCTAAAAGCACTTGCGGCGATAGCAAAAACGTCGCAAGAAGCGTTGACCATACTAGCACCGCTAAAGTTAGCGGCGTTTGTGAAAAAACATCGCAATAGGTCGAGATCTATAGCGGCATTTTTGGAGAAAACGCCGCAAAAGGTCGGGTCTATAGTGGCGTTTTTGGTACAAACGCCGCAAAAGGTCAAGATCTATAGCGGCGTTTTGGAACAAACGCAACAAAGGTCGAATCTATAGCGGCGTATTTAGAACAAAAGCCGCTAATTACCGCTCTTGTTCTAAGATTATTTTATATTTGCATATTTCATTTCTTCTCTACATCACCTAAATTTAATATCATGTAGCTTTATCTAATTAACATCAAACATAAATTTAAATAACAAAATGAATTAAAATTTATAAACATTAAAATTAAATGTAATGTAGTTTTACATTGTTCTCTAGAATTTAGTCTAGGTACTTTCACTTTCAATTAAAAAAATATTATTCACTAGAATTTAGTCTTCATTGCTCCTTCGTATGAGTCTTCCCACCGCTTGTCACGCCATAACAAAATGGTGCCTGTGAGCAAAATTTAACATTGTAAGGTAAAAGAACAAGTTCTGAGAAAATTTAACACTCATAAAGTGATGACCATGTAGGATAGCTGTAGCTTCTATGGAGCATTTAATAACAGGGGATTAATAGAATTAAAAAGCATTGTAATGTTACAACTGGTTCCACACCAACGAGCTGAACAAAAAGACATGAAAGGGGCAATATAAGCCATAGAAAGCACACTTGTGTACAAACATGATTTAGTAATTGAAGCCAGAATTTATTTGGGCATCAGAAAATCTAACCTTAATGTCGGGATTCTGCTCTTTGAGATACTTCCCTGCTCCTGTTACAGTGCCTCCGGTCCCAATACCTGAGACAAGTATATCTATCTTCCCTCCAGTGCCTTTCCATATCTCTGGTCCAGTTGTCTCATAATGGACCTAAATCAGGAAAGAAGAATCAGATGACGGCACCCTCCTACACTCCAACAACCAAAATATGCATGCAAAGTGTTTTGCAATGATACCTTTGGGTTGGCAGGGTTTTCAAATTGCTTAAGAATGTAAGAATTAGGTGTCTTTGCATGAATTTCTTCAGCTTTCTGAACAGCCATGAATGCCAATCCTATACCGGTATTACCACTGGTTGGCTCGATCAGGACACTCTTCAGCATATAGGACAAGGAAATTGTTTTGAGTTAAAGCTTCTCGGTTAAGTTGATAACTCAAAACTACAGGGTAATAATAACACCGACACATCCTTACTTTTACACATAAAAATGTTCAGATAGAATTAAAAGGAACAAACATAGAGCCGTGTCGCTCCAACTCTTCGTTTTTCTTAAAGTACCCATGTTCATAGTGGCATAAGACACTAGAGAAGCCAATGCATAATTTTACTTGCAAAGCGAAGGTGATCTAACATTAACTTGACAATTCGATTACATAAATCTCTAGGAGAGAAATACCAACCTCACCCGGATTAATGAGACCCTTCTCCTCTGCATCCGCAATCATACTATATCCGATCCTGCAAAGAAAAGAAGAGTTTGCATCTCATCAAAGATTATATATACTCCAGTCCTACATAACTGATAGCAACATAATAGGCATAGTGAACGATGAAATCTTGTTCAGCGTATTATACGACACAACTTTCAAATGGTAAAGCGGAAATAGTTTAATACCTGTCCTTGACACTGGAGCAGGGTTCCATTGCCTCCAACTTAGCAGCAATTTTAGCGACGGATCCATCGACAACGTTGTTTAGATAAACCAGAGGTGTTTTACCGATCAACTTTTTATATCAAATCCAACAAGATTAACGAGGTTACCAATTATTTTCTTAAATTAAACAAAACATAAACTGAAGTAAATTTATTAATAAAGATGAACACTGGCTTACTTCAGTGACATCTTTGGCAATTAAAGTCGTGTCCTCCATTTCTTCTCAAGGTACTGCACAAGCATTGCAGAGCAAAATTGTTAAGCAAGACAAACTAAACTGACATAAAATTGATACAATTCGAATAATTTAAGAGTAATAGCAATTAGTGAGATTTCAAAATATTTGGATTTAACTACAATTAAAGTACAAAACAGACTCTTTATGAAAGTGTAAAAATTCCCCTGAAAGTTACAGTAACCAAGCAAAAAAAATGAAAATTTAGTAACCAACGAAAACCATAAATCCAACCATAAACACACACACACACAAAATTAGAATTTTACAGATTTTAAAGTACCCAAATTTCCAGATTACAACTTTTCCAAAGAAAGGCAGTCTTTCTGCAGCTTCAAATAAAAAGACCCAAAACGCTCCTGACCATTCCCTAAAACTAGGTCCAAAGTAGACCTAGGCACATCCAAAAACCAAGTAATTAGTCATGAAGGAGAAGAAACATGGTTACAAGAAACACATCAAAGAACCGAAAACGAGTCTAAATAAACGAGTCATGGAGGAGAGAAGATGAAACATTTTTATATTTTAGAAAGGGGAAGCGGGAATGGAAAAATAGGTGAAGGGGAAAAATGAAATAGGGTTAAAGAGGCGTGGGATTTAGAAACTTTAAACTTACGGCGTTTGTAAACACAAACGCCACTAAAGTACGAGTCTTTAGCGGCGTTTGTAAAAAAACGGCTCTAATGTACGAGTCTATAGCGGTGTTTGTATAAAAATGTCACTAATGTACTAGTCTATAGCGGCGTTTGTACAAAAATTCTACTAAGTACAAGCCTATAGCGGCATTTGTAAACACAAATGCCACTAAAGTACAAGTCTATAGCAGCGTTTGTATAAAAACGTCGCTAAAGTTACCATTTTGTGGCGTTTGAAATGTAAACGCGCTATATATTTAAATTTAGTGGCGTTTACTCTTAAACGTAGCTACAAACGCCGTTGTAGAACAGTTTTGCTGTAGTGATGTTACCCTCCCATGTCGTTACATGTGCATTGTCACCCGTGAATGATACAGCTGGCCAATCTGAAACAAAGACACACTACAATAGGTGTGTCCCTAAATCCCATTACCGAAAACGCGACACACTATGAAAGTCATACTTCGAATGCGTCTTCCTAGTGTCTTGTAACAATTATCCCATTCAAATAAATAATTTTGTGCATTATTTCAGTTATTTTTTCAATTAGAATACCCTAAAAAATTTGCCAAGTACTGATGCTGAAAATATTAAATAATTATTTTAAATAAAAATAAACATCTAAAATAGAAAAAAAATGAATACATATTTTTCCATTAAGCCTAAACTATATATATATATATACATAAAGACGATTAAAGTCTGGACAGAGATGAGCGGAGGAGGGAATTTCCAAAACCATGGAGTGGAGCCACCACGTCACAGTCACTTTCCAAACGAAGCGAAGCGTATCATATTAAGTGGGAAGTGTCATGCCAATGATTCATTTCATGTGGTGAAGATGAGCTGATGCTGTGCCTCTTATAACAGCATCACTTGCCCCCTTTTCTTTTCTTTTCTTTTCTTTTCTTTTGGAGCATTAATCAAACCCCAACTCCCACAAGCAATTTTGATGGGCCTGAATTTGCAAATGGATGCTCACTCCATTTCACTAACCCATTTCTAACCTCTGAGTCGCCCTCCACGACTCGGGCGCCTCAACTCTTTCGAGTTAAAACCTTTGTTTTTCTCTCCCCTCTCCACCCGCTTCCTTCCTCTCATTTCCTACAATCTCCAAATCCGCTGCGTCGCTAATCACGACCATCGCCACCATCATTATCATCATCATGGTTCTGGTAAGTTCAATGGTCCCCAGAGGGCTGTGATCGAGTTCGCTAAAGCCATTCGATGGATGGACTTGGCCAATTACTTGAGGAAGCACCTTCATCTCTGCTGCTGCGCCACTGCACTGTTTATTGCTGCCGCTGCTTGCCCTTATTTGGTCCCCAAACCATTTACCAAGCCTCTCCAAAATTCCTTCCTTTTCCTCGCTTTCCCTCTCGTCGGGGTAAAACTCCATTCCTCTTTTATGTTCCCTTTGGTAGTTAATTCTTTCATCAAAAACAGTGTTTTCAGATAATTTAATTTTTTTCAATTTTTTTTAAATAACTGGTAATTTTGTTTGATTCGATATTTGATTTTACTGTACTTTAAATCACCTTTAAGTGTTTTGCGTTTTTTTTCTGTATGGGTCAGGTTTCATCGGCACTTGATGCCATCACTGATATTGCTGGTAGAAAAGTGAACATTCATGTGCTCATGGCACTTGCTGGCTTGTCTTCTGTTTTTATGGGGAATGCCTTGGATTGTCTCAGGAAAGGCGGGTTAATATACGGTTAATATACGGTATTACCGGATATATTAAAAGATATTTAATAAATTCGGTTTAGCACTACCAGAAATATTGACTAATAATAATGTAGTAGGTCTAAGTCATGAAGAAATATTAAAAAATTGTGCAACTGGCAAACTTAACTTGTCGGTTCGTGTCGATCCAAATTAAAAATGTGTCGATCCAAAACGATATAACAGGTAAAACTATAACAAAACCGATATTGAAATGATAAAACCGGTAAAGCGCTACCGAATACATCTAAAGTGTCGGTACTTTAATATAAGGATCGACACTTCGTGAATTTAAAAGAGAAGCAGTTTTAAATCCTATAAAGTGTCAATACTTTTAAAAAATGTATCGATCCAAAACGATATACCAGGTAAAAATATGATAAAACCAGTATCAAAATGATAAAACCGGTAAAACGTTACCGAATATATTGAAAGTGTCGATACTTTATATAAGGATCGACACTTTGTGAATTTAAAAGAGAAGCAGTTTTAGCGCCTATAATGTGTCGATACTTTAAAAAAATATATCGATCCACAACGATATAACAGGTAAAAATATGATAAAACCGGTATCAAAATGATAAAACCAGTAAAACGATACTGGATATATTGAAAGTGTCGATACTTTCGTAAGTACGTGTAATAAATTATCGACACTTTCAAAGAAATAGGTAATTATCCTTTCGAAAGTATCGACACCTGACATAAAAGTATCGACACTTTTGTATTTGTATCGATTAAATATAAATAACATATCCGATGAAAATATAAAGGCCATATCTAAATATCCTCTGAAAATCGATAGAACGGACGAGTTTTTGAAATCGAAGCGTAATTGTTGCTGCATTTCAGAAGGCGTTTCTAAAGCGATGTTTGTTTATTTGTTGATGCAGTCGAATCGAAAAGTATGTTGTCGAAACCCTAGTTTTTTATTATTACAGTAATCGCGAATAGGGTTTTTATGTGTTATTTGGGGTTTTGGAGTAAAGAAGCATTTGGGACCGATTGCAGGTAGAAAGTGATATTGAAGGTAAAATATAAATGTCGATACTTTTATTAAATATTATAGGTAGAATATGATATTATAGGTTGTATAAATGTGCCGACACATTTTTTAGTGACCATTCAAATTCTTTTGAAGAAAACTGTTTTACCACAAGAGTAGTTATCTATATTTGTATATTGAATAAGGTGTATGCAACAAAATAATTTGATTTGCGTAAACTGATATATGAAGGAAAAATGGAGTCAATGGGTTGGAAAATTGTTGGTGGCGCAGATGACTTTGAAATTGAGGCCGAGACTCGAAAGCAACCAAATGGTGGATATATGTACTTCTAGTAAGTATCAATGTCTTTTTGTTATTATTGTTGAAATGGTAATTGGATTAAAGTATCGATAAACTTTAAATTGATTACAAATTTTAAATGTTGACAGTATGGCCGAATGCAAAAGGATGAAGGAAGATGGCACACAGAGCGGTTTGGTATGTAAAATGAAATTGACATTGAGTAGTATTTAGTGTTAATGTATTGATTAAGAAACGTTTATGTTTAATATTAGGTGACAAAAGATGTGAGGTCCAAATGGAATTCAATGAGTGATGCTGAAAAGGAACCTTACATCACACAGTCAAAGAATGATAGTAAAGAATACAAAGAACGGAGGAAAGCACATGAAAATAAGGTATTCATTAAACTTGTAAATACGTTGATACAAAATATATAAGAACTATAACATTATATATTGTTAAAAAAATGTAGGAAGTGTCCACAAGATGCAGCATTAAAAGGGTGAATTCATTAATTAAACACCTTAAGGAGAAGGGTCAGTTGAATGTGCTGGGAGAAATAGGTTTTGGATCGTTGGTAGGAGTAAGGGATCGACCTATTCGGAGGGAATTGTGTCGATCCTTGATGGCGCAATTTGATGTCAGACAATGTATTGCTAAGTATGGTGATTTTTCATTTCCTCTCGGGATCCCATGTGCTGCAGCCGTATTGGGGGTAGAAAATGAAGGCAAAAGTGTTGTAGAAGTCTGTAAGAGTAAGGACTGGAAAGCACTTGCCTCCAAATATGATTTGAAGCAGAAGGTGACATATGCTGAAATTGAAGAGGAAATAAAAAGTGGATCTTACGTTGAGGATGAGCTGAAGGCCAGAGTTCTATTATACCTTATCGGTATCTTTCTTTGTCCAACAGGTCATACGTCAACGAACAAGGAACATATGAAGCTCATTTGCGATGAAGGCTTGAAGGGTGAATTCAATTGGGCTGAATATATCCATGTTTGTTGCGTAATTGCAGCAGCAGGCGTTGGATGCCAACAGCAAAGAAAGTGTTGAGAGTATTGCTACCTTCTGGGTCCCATATTGAATAACTATGTGAAATTCACCGACTGTGAGAAGGTAAGACACCATACCAATTGCAAATGATGTTTTCGGATATAGAATGTTGAATTTTGTCAAATTGGGTGTGAAATTTATTGCAGATCATGATCACAATAAACTACCATAATTCACATTGGTATCTGTTGGTGTTGGATATGGTAGATCGTGTTGCAATAATATATGATAGTATGTTTACAACTGAAGCAGCTAAACAGAGAGTGAAGGATGCTAAGAGATTGGTATGTAT